ACTCTGCACGACGCAAATCGGGTCCTTCATGAAGCCAAACGGTACAAAGACACCCATATTCGAATCCAGCCAATTCCCATCAAAGACCTGAGGTTTTTGATGTTCTCAGATGCATCCTTTGCATCAGCCAAGAGCCCGGAAAGCCATACAGGAATGATAATCTTGGCAACTCATAAAGACATCATGGAAAACTATCAGTGCCCAGTCAGTCCTTTGTCTTGGGGGTGTAAGAAAATCCAGAAAGTGGTGACAAGCACCCTATCAGCTGAGACCACATCACTACAAACGAGCTTGGACCAATTATCATGGTTAAGATTATACTGGACCTGGCTTCTAGATCCCAAGACAAACTGGCGACAGCCCCAAAAGGTGTTCCAAAATATTCCACCACCGGTGTCTTCAACCACACACTTAGCACAAATGCTCCCGAAGGCAGTGGCAGTCACAGACTGTAAATCCCTCTATGATCTTGTGACTCGAACCGCCCAACCGAACTGTCAGGAGTTTAGGACACAACTGCAGGCCAGGGCGATCAAAGATCTTCTCTCAGAGGGGGTGACTTTGAGGTGGGTACACACAGGGGCTCAGCTTGCAGACTCACTAACCAAGGTAATGCAAAACCACTTCTTGAGATACACCTTGCAACAGGGTCGTTATCAACTTAATGACGAGCTGCAAGTATTGAAGCAAAGAGCAGATCATCGAACGAGAGTGCAGTGGTTGTCATCCGGATGCCCAGCCGATATGAAGCCCACAAAAAGTTTTGAAGATTTTTTGGGAGTGTGAATTTTCAGTTGTGAACCATTCAGCATGTCGAGAGCTCGGCCATCGCACTTCCCTTTCCGAAGCCTTTTCGGGCACGAGTCCGTTGGGTGGTGAGGGTCAGGGCCCTACAAGAGGCCGTTGAGCCATAGCGTGAGGACACGCTCGGTTGCTTGGCGAGGACGCCAATTTCGTTCAGGCAGTGGCGGAGGAAAAGGCCGCTTCTGAGGTGCTGTGGGCACCAGCTGAAGGTCGAAGGGCTACCAGTGTGGGCAATCCACATATATAATATATCTATATGTATATTATATGTATATTTAGTAAATACAAATCAGCAAATCTTTTGACTTGTGCAGTTGTGCAATCCCACTCGAAGCCTATTCAAACTATATGGCCCCTGGAATACGTTCGTTGGGAACTCGGTCTTTTCATTGCTCAGGTGACTCTCTTGAGACTTTCCCAAACACCTGGCCTTGACATGCCGCTCCTTGGATGAAGAGTGGAGTCAATGCCATTCAGAGAATCCACTACCATGAAATCCACCCCTGCACCTTGAACTCAACAGGAACACGTAAAGATATCATTTACTTTTAACCGAGCAAGTTAAGCATGTTTTATCCGCAGTCCAGGTGCAACGAGCTACTAGCCAAGTGCAGCATCAAGGCTGCGGCGTCATGAACCATGCGGCCTCATGCGGTCATGCTCATTGTGTCCACACTTTGGGGCTATTCGCAGGCAATGGTGGAGAGTGGAGTCGTTATATATGCCTGCGTATCTGTGGCAGTACGGCTCCCAAGAACCCTCCAGTATGCTCCAAGAGGTGTTTCTGCGGTAGCTAAATTTCTGTTTTGCTGCCAGCATGCTGACTTTGCCATAGCCAACCGGTCAAGGTAGCAGGCCACGCTATCAACTGGGCGGCCGGGGAGCCCAAGTTGCGACACTCACTTCAGAGGGCGTACTTCAGATTGTGCCGAGGAGCTGGTCTTGCCGCTACTGACAGCCTGGCTGGCTTTGTGGGCTGTTCGGCATGGTGTAGGCCAGAGCCTTCTCGTGACTTTGGCACACTTGATGAGAGCTTTGCGTGTTCTTCTACTGGAAAGTTGTGTTTGCAGGCATTTGCTTTGAATTGGCATCTGCTGAGCTGGCACGAAGAGCCACACACAAGGCAAGACACTTTGCAATGCTACAGTTTCATAATGTTTCATGTGGCAGGATATTGCTAGTATGTTGTTGACACACTTCCATGAGCTGCAGGGCCTGCAGGGCATCGCGGCAGCAACAGCGCAAGCCCCTGCCAGGAGCCTGGACCCATTCCTTTGCCATGTGCGCTTGATTTGAAAGGGGTGCTCACCACCTGGAAAACCATGAAAGACCAGATATGCCCAACGCCAATGACAGGTTCTTTTGATTCATACATAAGGGATAGACGCTCTTTTCTTTCATAGAGGCCAGCCATGCAATGCTTGCGATTGTGGGAATCGGTGCCCATGGAGCTTCTAAGATATCCACATTAGCACATTGCCAAGGCCAATGACCAATGTACAAAGTGCTCGAATCGGCATACTGCAGATTCCAAGTTTTGCCGCAGATGCGGCACAAAAAGAACTACGCAGGAGTGCCTGTCATGTAATGTCGTGGAATACAACATCACTGAATGGAACACAAAGCAAATGAGACACTGAACAGACTTGATAATTTCAAGACATCCAGCTCGTGCCTTGGGAGAATTGGTCATGTGTCTGAAGGAGTCCACCATATCGCAAGATGCGAAATACTGTGCCTCTTTGATCCAGTTCCAGGATTTCTCTGCGCGACAGGTGCGGCCGGCAGTTGGAAAACCTGAGAAGCAGAGCCAGTCACTGTCAGTGACATCAGCTTGCTTTCATGGAAATCGTTTGACCCAAGCATATTCACTATTATATGTATATATATATATATATTAAATGGAAGTTTTTGATGGCTTTCCAGACAAGCAGTGGGCTGTAGTGAGTTGCTCATTTTAGCTCAAACACTTCTGTGAACGTAAACCTTCCAGATCACATCATTTCTCCAATTGCAGAACAGTTGGGGCTTGAATGTCCGTTGCAGAATCTAAAGAAGTTGCGGCTGACCAGCATTGGCATCTTTTTCCGTACCTGCGAGGCCAGTGCAGAGCTTTACATCCCGTTTTCGCTTTAGTTCGATTTTTGTGTTTGGGAGGGATATATATATATATTTTTAAATAGTGGCCATAAATAAATGAAGTTCAAAAGTTTGGACAGCACAGCACGATAGAGAATCTGATTGTCACGTGTGTGCTCAATGTTTCCTTCTGCCTATCATGAACTCTCTAGTCGCAAGATTTCGCAAGATTCCTTTTTCTGATCCATTTGTGATCATTTGTGGCGCTATGCGGTTCCTTAGATGAGCTGGAAGGTGCTACCCGTAGCTGTGGGGTTGTCCCTCTGGTGTCTGGGCGGGCAGTTGTGCACTGGTTTTCTGGCTTGAGGCTTAGTTTGCTGCTGTTGCGGGGAAGTCTTTCCAGTCTCTTTTTCAATCTTTCGACTGCTCCCAGCTTTGGACTTTGAGGTGGGTGTTCTTCTGGCAATCACCTGGGAGATTATACATCCTGCTCGAATAGACGATTTGAAGGGATATCCAAGGCAGAGAGGGTGTGATGGATCAATTGATCAGAAGTAGCTCAGCGAATCCCTCATTTTCGATTTCCAGTTGAACGCTGTCACTTGTTTGACTTGTCCCTGGGATGCTAGGGACAGCATAAGCTTTCGGCTGTGGAATGTGGCAGAGCGAGGGCCAGAGCCCAAGCGGTGAAGAACTTGTGGCACAAACCTGGATTGCAATGATATCTTCTTGTTTGGTATTATCATTTTCATCCGTTTTCCTCCATAGCTAACTAAAGCTATGGGATTTTCATTTGTTCATGATTTGCGGGATATTCAAAGGTTCGAGTGTGTGCTATGGCCAATTTATGGCACCTTCGCACCACTACACTTGGCGGTCACTCGGATGAAAATTCGTTGCCGCACCCATGTCACTCAGGGCTGGGAGGGTGCTTCAAGTTGCACACATTTCCTTGATTTAGACCTCTGTCAGGACCCAACATGCGACCACAACGAGGAAGAGGCTATGCTAGATAGCCTCATGCTGCCAGCCTGGTGCGCCTCCCAATGAAGGATTCATGCCGTCATGTCAGCCAAGTTTCCAATTAGCAATGGACATTTGGGCCGACTGCGTTCTGGTTTGAAGGTTAGAAGGAAGCGCTTGATTCAATCTAATCAAAAGGTCGGTCTTCTTTTGCACATAGTTTTCAGGAGAATCCTACCCCATTGTTTGCTGCACTTGCTCCGAGGTGTTGTCTTCGATGTTTGTACATCTTCATCTTGTGGATATGGACGCTCTTCAGTTTGGGTTCTAAGTCATCTTCGGCTCTCAATGGCTCTCCCATTGTATTTTGTATGTTTGATTCATAGCCCTGTCCGGCTAAGATTCCCAGAACTTCCCAAAGTTTCCGCATTTTTGGAGCTTGCCCGATCCTCAAGAGCCACTCGCAGTTCATGCGGCGACAAACAAATCAGCTCAAAGCCGGCCTTCCATACGAACTTCGGATCAGGCAGGACTTGAATGATCCACGGCAATGGCAATTGCTGATTGCCTGGCTGGAGCCTCAGCATGAAACCTTTATAATGCATGCCTTTATACATTTTACAAACACCTTGACGATTCAGGGAATCTTGTTCTCAGGTGCTGGGTCATTTCTGGTGCGCTTGCGGTGGCCCAAGAAACCTTACTGTAAGACTATAGCAGTTAGAGTTCAGCCACATACTTCAAAAACAATGTGGAAATTCATTGTTTGCGCACCCTACCAGAGCATGTTCCAAGAGATGTGCTTAAATAAGGCAGCTGTTGCCTTTCCAGCTCTGTGTTTGCGAGCGCACAGAAGAAGGTGCCGAGTGGGATATGTTTGTGCTCGATATTCGACTTCAGTCTCATCTGCCAGTCTGTAAGTCTTGTGTCAGCTGGAGACTCCGCAGGCATTTTCAGCAGAGCCAAAGGACACCACAGACTAGACAAAAGAATCAACACAAAGAATACGTCACTGATGTCTGGGTAAACATGACTCCCAAGAGTTCCAAATCTCGAATTCGCGCTGATTTCAGCCAGTCATCACGCTTCTTCACTGTTGTGCATCGGGTACGTGGAAAGAAGATGACTCTACATGATGTGATTGCCCACTTGCCAAACATTTTGCGGCGGAGTATTTATTCAGTTTCCTTCCGCCATGCAGCCTTTCTTGTCATTATTGCTGGCTCTTCATGTTTCGTTGTCCACAGGCTGGGATGAGTTGCATTGTGTACAGAATGGGCACAGGGCGCGGCACTGCGGCTGGAGCCTGTACAGTCTCGCACCTACTTGAGGCAACAGCTTTCAGAAGTGGACGGATGCCCATGGCAAAGTCTATCAATCAGAGGAGGAGCGCCAAGAGAGCTGAATATGTGGGAAGACCATTTGATGTTCTTTTTTTCCTTCTCGTTACTGCCAACGCAGGAGAGGCATTCCCGCTCATTGATTTATGCAAAGAATCAGTTGTTGGCCAGAATCTCAGGTTGGTTTCATGTCGTAGATTGAGAATCGAAACAGGGATGTGCTGCTGTCAAGGTGGAGAAACTGTCCGTTGCAGACCCTGATGTGGTTTATGATATCTCTGGCCCTTTTGCTGACTTGGAGACTTCCGAGTTCACTTCGAAGTTGATGTCCAAACGTGCCTTAGAGTACAAGCGAAATCCGTGAGGCTGTTTTGCTTGCCTTTCAAGTAGCACACAGTTTGTGCACTGGATTCGAATCTTTGGCCCATGAAACCCTGGGAAGTGTGCAGCGACAAGGCGAAGCGTGTTGAGCTAGCCTGTTCTTCATGCATTCGTGGTCACATTTGGTCTTGCTCATTAAGCTCTTGCTTCACTGAGGCACGGTTCCACAGATCTTGGAGGAGATATTCACGTCGCTTCGCGACGGTAACCGCCCGCACCGCATGGAAGGGGCCAATATTTCCACCGAACATAGCCCCGGAAGTGCCCCCCCCCCTCTCCAACGTGGCCGAGCATTGCTCTTTTGAAGGCTTTCCCAAAAAGTCTGGGCACCACATGAATAGGGCGAGCGCTTAATTGAAGAAACGTGGTGAGCTTTCCTGCGTCCAGTAGCCGAGTAGCGTTTAGCTAGCCCTTTCTGAATTAAGTAGGCACCGACTTCATCAAGTAAGGGTGAGGGGAACATGGACCAGAAAAGAACAAATACAACGCCTCTGAGTGTTCTGCAGCATGTTTTCAGGAGCTTCGTGAACACTCAGATCAGCAGAGCTTGCCAGACTCCTTCGACTGGGAGCCGAAAGGCGCAACCATAAAGGGAGAGTAAAGGTGTGCTAAGGCTTTGTTTGGAGTCTGATAGCCTTAGCAGCAAAGCCTAGCAGGGCTCATAAATCAAGCCCCTAAACCCCTAGTTGAGGTGCCCACTGACAACACAGTTGGTGCCTACTGGCAGAATGGAGCTGAAAGTGAAATGTTGCGATGTTGCGAGAGATTCTGTATTATGCTATGCTGATACGAGGCCCACTTGTGCCAGATTGCATCCCTGAGATGCATTTGCACAAATGCATGTTCAAGTGAAAGCGACCTAACTAACCAAGACACAAGCCACGGGCAAGTGTTCGTACATTTTTTGTTTGTTTGTTTGCCACTCCTCTTATATATATTTTGGTTTGACAGTTTGACACGTCTTTTCTTACACTGATAAGAAGGGTACATGGTCCCAGATTTTCTTTCTTGTTCTCCAGGTTCCTGAAGACTATCTTTGCGTGCTCTTGACACTTCCCAGGCCTTGTCGCGCCAGTGAGAAATCAAAAAGCCTTGGGATCATGCTGGGCTGTGTCAACAGCAGAGACAGTTGAAGGCGGGCAGGAGTCGGGGTTTGAAGTGTGCTTTTGGATGTCTTGACCTATTCTTGGGATTTGGCTTATCTTCACGTTGCTGCCAGTGGGAACAGATTCAAGCCGTCTACTCTATGGTGATTCCAGCCCTGAAAATGGACATAGGCACCTCTGATCCTGAGACATACATCATTAATGCTATAGCGGAGCGCGGTGGCAACCAGGACATGTAGACTGCAAGAACGACAATTTAGGAGCACAGCTATACAAGAAATCCTGACAGCCATCAGAAGCGACCAATCTATGACGAGTTGAATTACCACAAGCTACAGTATTTGACCGAAATCAGTGGGGAATACAACACATCATGAAGGATTAGCAGAAACCACATCATTTGCCATCAAATCTCCGACAAATCTCCTGGCAGTCGTTACCTCTTCAGTATATTTCTAGTACCTCTGGCGGTTACTAAGAAAAAAGGAATGTGTTCGGGCCATATGATAAGGCACCCCTTCAAAAGGGGCCTCATAAAAGGGGCCCAAACATCTCTTGATGCTTGGTTGCTGGCCTGATGGATTCTCGTGCGTCTCGCCTTTCTCTAGGACAGCTGGCCAAGGCAACAGGCAAGCTGGTCCCGCTGTCACCAGAGCAACTGATCGAATGCGATGCTTCTTAGCTGAGACTGAGGAGACTGAGACCGCGGAAAGCTTTAGGAAGACTCACACAACTTGATTCAAGGACCCCTGCTGGAGTTTTGAACATTTCAGCACAATGAACCATGATGAGCCATGATGAAACATGATCAGGCATAAAACATGTGACACGCGTGATTGTTTTTTCTTGCGTGTGAGTGAGGCAAGTTCAGACAGCACCTGTGCAGGTGGTAAAGGCTGTGCAGGCCTTAGTAGTATATATGTTCTTCATGAATAATCGCGCAGCATAGCCGGTACTGGCAATAGTTTGAAAGCTTCCAAACGAAGCAAGGAAGATATCACTCTTATGTCGGTCCTTTCACCTGCCCATTTGCCAAATCAAACTTGACTCTTCCACACATGGGAACTCTGTGTTTCTTTCCTTATGCACGTTCATGCATAATTCATGTGATATTTGAAGACAGGAAGTGCCAAACGGGCATTTCAGCACGATTAGATTGAGGGTTGCCTGGATTTTTCTTGGATGGTAGGGCTGACTCGTTGCAAGGTGCCGATTGTGGGATGTTTGGTGGATGGCCATACCTGGCATATCAATTTCTCCAAAAGGCTGGTGGTATGTTCAGCGAAGCAGATTGGCCTTACTTCAAGGAAGGCATGTTTCCTTGCATGCCGAAAGGCGCGGTTTGCAATGCGAGTGTATACTCAGACGTGCTCGGAGCGTAGATGCTCAGAGACTCGAACACCAAATTGCGGACCTGAAGGAGCAAGGACGCTACTAGGAGCAAAGGGCATCGCTACTAGGAACAAGGACGCTACTAGGGGCTCCTGGCCGTACTACTAGGAGCAAATAGCTACTAGTAACACGAAGCAAATTGCGGCCCTGAAGGTTATAGCAAGGCCCTCTGCGGAAACCATGATGATCTTTACTGCCGAGCAAACTCGACCAAAGGCGAGGCGCGAAAGAGAGGTTACTGTAGATGAATCAATCTCTTCATTCACAAAGGTGTCGAGGGTTCTGAGATGGTTTTTGTAAGGCTGCAAGGCATGGCATTGGGACACCTTGTTTCTGTGGTCAGGCCAAGGGCCTAAGGATCTTTGTCATGCAACCAGCGGCTTCACAACACCGGTTTCTGGCTGGCGCTCCTTAAGCCGAGCCTTGTCAAAGTAGAACGTTGTTTAGACCAAAGCTTTGGTTCCTTGTACTAACATAGAACATCGGGCTTTTGAAGCGGTTGAGGCAATGAGGAAGAACTGGCAGCACAACTCATCCAGTTTGGACCGGCGTCCGTTCTGATCGTGGCAGATGGTTTGCAGTTCTATCACTCTGGTGTTTTTACAGGTCCGCCGGGCACCGTTTCTAGGGTTGCTGCTTGTCCAATTAAGATGAATATGGAAAGGACACCAACAGGCAAGTAGTACTTCAGGTGGTCTCCTTGGCTGTCAGCCTGACCCCTCGGAGGGCATCCTTGGCTTAGACCATGCAGTGCTGATGGTGGGCTTTGGCAAGGACGATCAGACAAGATTACATATGTAGTAGTTGCCAAGGGATGGATCAATGGATGAGCAAGCCTAGGGATAGTGAGATTGCTTTTGGCGTTGTCCACCCATCACCGTATCAAGCTGTGCGTTACACAGGATCACGCCCTTTTTGGCCACATCAAGCCTTATTGGAGGCGTGGTGACTGGACTGGCAACAGCTTCAGAGGGCCACTGGTGAGATGGCTTTCTTGGCAAGTGTCACTGATTATCATGGTCTATACATTTGCTTTTCCTTTGAACTTATTTGCAGATTTGTCGACACTGAATTTGCAGGCTGAAGAACTCCTGGGGCACTTCTTGGGGTGAGCAGGGCTACTTCCGCCTGGAGCGTGGCACTGGCCGTTGTGGGGTGAATCTGGCGGCCACCGTGGCGCGAGTGGAGACTTCTGTGGTCGTAGTCTGAGGACCGGAGGGGGTGTTCCGATTTGGAGCTTTCATGATGAATTTCAGATACTAGAAGACCTGTGAGATTGCTGGAGTGAAAGCAATTGGACACCTAGAGGATTTGGGTTCATGTGGAGGATGAAGCGGAGTTCCCTGCAGTGAGGAATTCAAACCTGTACATAGCGTGGCCAAATAAGTGTCACTTGTGCAATGCCGCAGGGGAGCAGCAGGGTCATGGGTGCCGACATAGATGATACGGGGCTGGGTATGGCTAGGTGCAGATTTTGCAGGTGTTCGGCATGTACAACTCCATTCTGACTGGCGAAGGGTTCAGTGATGCATTCTACTCCTTTCTCTGAGTTGGAAGAGAATTAGAAACAATAAGCTACTAGGAACAAATGCATCGCTTCTAGTAACAAGTGCCTTACTAGTAGTAACAAGAAGCTAGTAGTAATAAGAAAAACATGTTTTTCAATCGAGACAGATCTGAACTATCTCACTCTATGAAGCTGAGACGTATGGGGATGAGCGAAGCAAGCTGAGTGTATATATAAGCACGGGGCAAGGACCAGTCGAATCCTTTGCATGTGGAGCGTTGACCAAACAGCATTCCAAATTCTACCAATCCGCCAAAGAAGCAGATGCAAACTAATGAATGTATTGCCAGCATTCACTAGCTGCAAGAGCAATCTCACTGGGTCGCAATGCTGAGAAAGGAGCCCCTCTGTCAGTGATGAGTGAGCTTTGAGAGGCATCATTTCATATCATTTCACTCAGTTAGCAGCGCCTTCCAACGAATTCGATCCTTGTACTTCCGTTGCACCAGGGAGAAGTGGGCTGACATGGACTGGAAGCGCTTCGTCCGACATGAGGCCAATTGCTTCCCAGATTGTCATTCTATCATGTCAGACTTTCATGCAGCACAAACTTGAAGTGCCATGACTTACAGCTTGGCGTTGGGTTTTTCTCCGCAGGAGGATCCTTGGCGCACTGTACAGGATGTCATTGTGCAAGCCTTGTCACGGAGCTTCCAATTCACATGGGATCCATCAAGAATTGTTTTCTCCGAAAAGACACACGGGCGGATCTATTTAACATGCTTGCGCCAAGACGATGCCTTCGATGTACAACTTCAGAGAGTATGAGGGTGAGGCTCGGAAGTTAGCAGTGGGGGAAACATTGGAGATCGACTGCCTCCTGTATATATATGAGCCACGGTAAAAACATGCGAAGACCACTTTAGTAAAGAGGGGTAGGTTTGTGCACAAAACCCTGCAAAACGATAAGGTCCACCTCAAAACCGATAACTCCAGCGTTGTATATGGTCATAAGTATGCGACGAACTCAAAACGCTGTAAAACATTGTAAAACGATAAGGTCCACCTCAAAACCGATGACGTCCATTTTTTAATTGAAGAAGAATAAGGAGTTTTGACCGTCCCTCATATATATATATATAGTTGCAAACATATGTCATGTGCACTTATTTTTCTTCAGCCTTAACATGTTAGACATGGCGTCAGAGTACAACCACTGGCTGGAGCAGCTGCAACAGAGCCAGGATACTTTTATAGGTCTTGTCCAAGCATTTGATTTGTTGACTTGGATTGTGCTGTTCAGGGTGGCGAAGAGTCCCTTGAGGATGACGTGCCCAGACTCAACTGGGAGCAAAGTCTGCGAACACGGAGTTGTACTGTATATTAAGCATTCCAGACACAATCGGTTACCACAGCAATCACACTGCACGAAGGAGTGAGTTGATAGACTTGTTGGGGAATCGATCCAGTTGTCCATTCGCGTACACTTAGAACCTTGATGCTGTTTAACTTGCCACGATCATAGTGCGAGCACAGTCAAAAGGCCATGTAGGTGCCGACAAACCTGCATCAGAGATACCGCTTAAACCGCCGTTTTTATAGCCTGGACGAGTCCGTTTTGCTTGGAAGCATGGCTCTCACTTGATCGGTGCCTCACACACTGTATAGTTTCACCACAGTTTTCGCATCCAACCCGATTCGCTTTCAACCCAACACACACCGCCGTTTGGAAAGCCATAAGGTCTCCTCTCCTCAGCACACAAACATACAATCGCTGCACAAACCAGCTTCTAGATCCAAAACAACACATTGTGCTATTACGCTAACTGAGAGCCAACAAATCCTGCAGCGAAGCAACGCGTCTCGTCTCTGGTAATTGCAAAGATTGGTCACAATGCGCATAAGTTTTCAATTCAACACTCAAAGAAGACCTTACTGTAGGTGCGCACACGTAAAGACGCCCACTCACACAACAGGCAAGTTATATATGTACGTGATTAGCCTAGGGCCTTGCCCGTTTTCCTTGTAGTTCGTGTTTTGGGCAGTACTTGCTTGGCTTCTTGTCAGCAAATCACATCCAAGCTCGCACTGAGTGTATGCTTCCACTAGAGCCGAATGAGCTTGGAACAACTGTCCAAAAATATGGAGTGCCTTTGCAAGATTCTTTGGCAGCCTTATATGAGTTCAATCAGGCATTGCAACTTGAGTCCCTTTGCTTCCATTTTGGGCCAATTTTATCATTAGTATTCACCTTGCTGCTGCATTGCAAGTTCCTTCCGCCAGCGCCATTGTCACTGGAAGCTGAGGTGGTTGGCCTGGTGCAGGACTTCTGGAGCCTGCCTGACTTGATTGAAACATCGAACACACTTATCGACTTATCTTGCAGGATTCTCACGGGTAGTTACAATTGATTTTACGACTTTGTTGTCCTCTCCTGCTGCCCCACCCAGTGCAGAGTACCTCGGCTGTAGTCCAAGACTTAAAACGACCAGAATGGCAACATCAACGACAAGCCACATTGACAAAGAACGATGCTACAGCTCAATGATTACATCAATAGCAACCCCAAATAATCACATCAATAGCAAGCCACCTCGTCAGGACAGGTAGACAAGTGTAAAGTAACTTGCGGACATTGGTCAAAGATCAACACGAAAGTGACATGTTTGCGAGGCTCAATTGTTGTTGATACATTTTGGCACTCGTCTGTTGCCAGGGGGAGAAGGGTACATAGCTCAGCGAGCGCTTGGACGAGATGCCAGCTTGGCGCATTGCAACAGCTTATTCAATTCTTTTGCTTGTAGCATACTCCTATGCGATTGTGGTGTCTCCGCTCATGAAAGCCTAAGGTTGGAGATGTTGGAGAAAGAATACCTGCTCGGGTTCAACCCCCAGGATCCAGTATACCCAGCATGCTGTGGAATGCATCAGTAGTGGATGTTGGCCTATTGGTGTTTTGCCATGAGTTTTTCAATCCCAACATGTCTTCTTGTACTGTACTACAGCCCCCTGTCGAGAGATTAACGCATTTTCTACCAACCTAGGCAGCAACACGTCAAAGAACAGAAAAAGGCAGGCAAAGATTTGCAGATGAGGGACACCTTTTCCTATATGCTTGTAGACTTTTGTTTGAAGGATGAATTGCGAGCGGCAGTCCATGCACGCTGCGCAACTTGCTTCTGATCAAGACCAAAAGAACACACACACACACACACCTGACAATGTATTGCCCGCCTGATACGCTAGCTGTGGGAGAAGAACAGATCCCCTAAACCGCCAAAGGTGGAGAAGTCTTCAGTTTTGAAGGGCCTGGTAGCATCATCCGGTCTGACAGGCTACCGCATGGACCCTGAAACATATTCAGGTGGCTTGTCGGCAAGACAGCTGTGGCAAGATTCAGAGAACGGTCATCCATTTGAGTGTGAACAGAATCTTACACTAACACTTCCCCCTGATTTTCGTTTCACAGAGTCTCTGCTTGTGCTGCCCTTGTGCTTTGGCTCATGGCCTGCTTGGACACTGAGAACATCCTCCAAGAGAAGGGGGTCACGTCTCCATGTACCGCGACGCTCGTTTGGGGTTTGCATGGAGGGCCGCATGAGCAACTTAGCCAAATTCAATTGCGGTTGAATTGCCAACGTCAACTATTGTGAGCTTCCCTCTTGCCTTTGCAGCATGCTTGGTAGGGTGGATGGTAATGACATTATCAGGTCATATCATGTCTAGTTGCCAGTGCGAGGGAGGTGAGGAAACATAAATACAACAACAACCTTCTCTGAGTTTCATGATTCCCTCCTTGTTCAAGGTCAGATCTTGACTTGTCCACGTCGGTCAAGGGCAAAAGCCTTAACCGTGACGAGCGCGAGGCAGGCGTGTTCTTTCAGATTCAGTATGCACATCAGTGTTGTCCTTGTTACTAGTAGCCTCTAGCTACCAGTAGTAATGCACTTGTTACTAGTAGTGATGCACGATGCACTTGCTACTAGTAGTATTGCACTACTGTGTGCTAGGTTGGCAGATGCAAGTTGGACTTCATTTCAAATGCTGAGCATGTCGAAACGAGTCCTGCAGCGAACCTCTCCTTCCACGAAACAGGCCAAACGCGAAACCAAATACAGACGACACAGACCTGCAAGTTTGAACATGTACTCCGTCCACCAGATGAACCAACCACTAAATGAAAGAGAACGACGTAAGATGTGCTTCCATGTGCCCCACACAAGCAGAAGCTCACAGAAGCTCCTGTCTCTATTGTGTTCAATTTTTGATGTGCCTTCGTTTGGTGTTCGGTCCACTTGATAGGAGAGTTTGAGATCAACGTGAACAATCACAACAATCGAGACAAGGCGGACGTTCCCTTCAAGGCAAGCCTTGTTCGTCCCGCTCAAGTCTTTGAGAGGCCTTGTGCGGCCTTGTGCGGGGTGTACGAAAGTCATGTTGCCCGTTTCTGACGCGACCGCTTTTGAATCCAACCAATACAACTGACTGGCAAAGATCCGGTGAGGTGATTCTGCGGAAAGGAGGTAGTGACGTGGCTGAGTATGATGCCATATGGCCCAAAACTCGGAAGCCAGGGCAACATCTAAAAGCAACTTGTCCGCAGCTAAGTCTGCCTGTGGCTCAAGGTTGGGAACTGCTGAAGCCACAACTGTTTTTTTTCTCTGGAAGAGACCCTGTAAGATGACCCTATGGTCCCTATGGTCCATATGATGATGAATATCTTAACGGATGATAACTTGGCCAGCTGCTACAATGAACCACCGATGAAGTGTTTGGGATTACAGCCAAGAGCTCGGGATAGTTTCCCGCGAGTCACCAGTCATTCTTCGCTTCTTCAGGTGAAAACATCCCTTGACACGTTTGGTCCAGTAGCACATGATGGCATAATGTCAGCAGCTTGTGCGTGGATGTGGCTTGAGGTATGCTTGGTCAAAGTGGAGCCACAGGAGTGGTGCCAAATATTGGCAACTCAAGCCATCAATTCGCCACAAGCCTTTGTTTTCAAGAGGTTTTTGCATTGTTGTCACATGTTGCCCACAGTTCACCATTCTCATTCGCATCATTTTGCAGGAAGCAGGCTAAACAGAACTGATGTTGAAAGCGCCCAGCTTGAGTTTCCCTAAAAATCTAGGATCCAAATGGAGCGCTTCTTCAAGGAAGCGTCCTGTACCTACTAGCTACCTCTCCCTTACTCAATTAAGTAGGGAGGGGGGGTGCAGGCCTTTAAAAAAGGTAAACCTTTCCCAAGTGGGGCGTTGATTTCGCTCTAGTTCCTGTCGATTTCGCTCCGTCTTCAATTTTTCTATGAACCATCTCCTCCCACATTTGGCCCATCAAGTTTTTGCTCCAGGACCTGTTGAGCACGAAGAAATAATTTGTGCTATGCATTTTGCACATAGAGAGACCACAAAGTCTGGCCATTAGAGAAATCAGAAATTGAGCTTCGGAACTGAGCACGCCCTCTGAGCCAAAATTGAAAGTTGTCTTAAATTGTCAGCATTTCTTCGCAAATTGTCAGTTCTGCGGCAGACGTACCTATACAAAAGTGGATGTGCCCGCAAAATGCGGTGATCCAAAGGCCAATGTGCCTTGGCTTTGCTGCCTTGCTAGTTAGCACCAAGTCTTTCGAACCAAAATGATTGAGATTTATATAATTAGATGCAGTTGAAGCATGATTTGTCACCCGTTCCTGCCCCGGAGTTGAACTGAGTCAGTGAGTGAGGTACTCAGAATCGGACACCCTCGAGCTACTTCTGCGCTGTTTGGCCAAGAAGGCTGAGAGGTCGGCGAAGCGCCGCTGATTTTTCAGGGTTCTTGATTTTACGTTAACATTTTGTGAATTAATGTATGAATCATAGTTCATATCACAGTCGGTTTGCATGAAACACAGGGCCCCAGGTCTCATAAAGCCTTTCAATCTTGAAACAAAGGTGCAAAGGCGGCATGCAAGATCTAGTCAGAGATGTGTGCAAAGACAAGTAGCATCGTCCTGTTTTGTGTAGGCCTGAGATTCTCAAGACGGAATGCTGTATTGGCTTTCTGCGCATCACCAGTTTCCTTATCCTCAGCCGTCGGCGGGGTGAAGTGCTGTTTCTTCTTTGCAGGAAGACTCTCACCTTTGTGGTGTATGGCCTGCAAAAGGCACCGACTGCGAATAGAGAGCCAACGTTATTATGTTTTTTTGGGTGTGTGTGTGTGTGTTTGCGCGGGACACTCGCACATATGTCATGTACGTGGGAGGCTCCATATGTTACAGCTGTGGCAGTTCCTCAATGTTCCCCACAAAAGCAAGTTCTGAATACAGCAATTCACATTGACATACATCATCATAGTAGTCTGGCATAGAGATGAAGACTTCTTCCTTCCAGATGGCCGTTCCCTTTGTGGGATGGAACCTTGGCCTGCTGAAGGAGGCGCTTGAGTGCAATAAGAGACAACTTGTTGTAATAAGATGATCTGTGTACAAGTATAAGTACCATTGCACGGAGTACCATTTTGATTGCAATGATTACAGAGAATTACAATCTGTTTTGACGCCATCTCTCTGGAACAGGTGGCCGAGATGGTCCTTGATGCAATGCCTGCAGGACACCCGCTTGCTCTTTTTCTTCATTCGAGCTAAGCTGAAGCTCGAGCACATGCGATACTGCATCAAGCTTTCAGCAGCATCAAATGCAAGCCCTTAAGCCTTCTGCATCCCGTGACCCTGATTCGCATGTAGGGAGAGGAATTGAACGGACACCTTTTACAACGCTTCCAGCCTGCCTGAATCTCTGCAAGTTTGGACCAAGCGACGAGGCGGTTGGACTTACCGGTGGACTGAGGATCAGCCTGCTTTGATGCGTCCATTTCCTAGAATTGAAGATGTTGCAAGTCGGAGTTTGCCAAGACTAAGAATGGTATGCATCTACTGTCTAGATTCTTTCCACAGAATTACGGCATGCGGTGTTGCCTCAAAGCCAGCCATGTGAAGCAGTTCTGATGGCTTGACCGGCGCAGGTGGGGCTAAGCGTTTATAGACCAAGAAATCAAGTACGCACGAGACTGAAACTAGCGGTGCATCTTTGAGTCCAAACCCGGGACTGACAGTTCATTTTTTGGATCAAGTACTTCAAAAGGAGCAAAGCTAGATTTGCAAACACATCAGTTACAAAAAGTGTGCTACGGCGAGAGACCTTTGCTATGGGATGGTGATTTCCTTCTGTATTTTCCATCTCCAACTAGAGCCAGTACGTATAAATGCCACACCCTTGACAGTACCATTCTATGCTGCAAGATAATGTTGAGTGATGGTCAAATGCCATCCGCCACATTGCCAAGCCTCAAAGCCTGAATCCATACTCACGGTCGGGTTTTGATTTCGGCCCAAGTTCTGTTATGTCGTGTCTTTGGCAGAGTGACAGCTACAACAAGACTCAACCCTCAATAGTTCTTAATGCGAGAAGATGAACATAAATTCGAATTTCACATCTGTATCAAAGCCGTTCCTCGCTCTGTGAAGAAGCCAGTTTCAGCAGAGCAGATCTGCTGCAATGGATTCGCCACCTCCATCTTCCAGGCTACTGTTGAGTCAATGAATCAAGAAGTGCAACTCGCAAAGTGGCAAGAGGCCGGCTGATTTCTCAATTTCCTTGGCAGGGTGTATGAGAACATTTTCCAGTCGTTGCCAATTATCCAAAATGCAGCTCCACCATCACCTCCAGAGCCTTTGTCCTGGCAAGATGACGTGGGACTAAGCCTTTGCTTCGATACATAGCTGCATCAGCAAAGAACGAGCGAGTCATGCTTGTCCCTTTCAACCTCAATTGAGTTAGACTGAACAGATCCCAAGTATTCCCAAGTTGATTCTCAGGTAGCCATTCTCACCTTGACTGCTGTGGCCAATGTGTTTTTCTGCATTCCGAGACGCTCAGACCCGGCATCGCCCGTGACTCGACCGGGAGCAGCATGCAGCATGACGGGTGATTCGGTGGTTGATGGCGCCTTGAGGACTCGAGGGGGTTGGGGTCGGGCTGCTCCAAGCTTCGAAGCTTCGTCGCATCCAAGGCCGCTTCTGAGGGGGTCTCGGAGGCGCAACAGGGACTTCGACAGAAGGAGGGGCGGGTTGACACCCATGCGCTGACCGGACTTAGAGGATTTGCGGCCTTGCACCTTGGAATCAAGACAGTCCAAAGTTGCTCTTGGACGGATAGATGGCTTAACATTTTTGAGTTGGAGGTTGACAGCAGTGTACTGGTAAAATGATAGACACCGTTAATTTGGAGTTCCCCAAACAGACGCGGCTTTGAGCGGACCTGTATCAAGCGGTGCCCCAAGTTGTCCAAGGCATGTTGCTCTGGGTCATTATTGCGCGATCTCGCCGGTCCATGTGGACTTGATTGGTGGTGCTTCCATGAGCCTCTCGGTCTCACGGTGCCGCGCCTTCTGTGCCTTCCACCTGGAGCCGGTAAATGTTTGCATGCTTCTCATTACAGAATGCACTTAGAAAAGTGACTCATGGTGACTTACGTTGATGCAGGCCTATGATTTGGGTTTGCATGCTGCTCATTGCTTGAATATTCTTATTTACTTTAAACTGCTTGCTTGGCCAACAAACAGTGGCGACAATTCGGAAGGAAGTCTCCAACAATGCCATCGGTTTGAAGTAAAGCAGGAAAAGATAGGAAAAGAACTAGTTATATAGACAACCGATAATTCTGTAGCGCGCTCTCATTTGCAAACGAGGTTTCTTTTACCTCCTGTCTGGCTTTGTCATGACTCTTGGTTATGCGAAAGATTTAGTAGCAGATTCTCGGCTGGCAACTGGGGGATCTGAGTTGACACCCGAACAACCCAACCGATGCTTTTCGATTGTTACAACACCGTGATTGTAAGCAAATGGATCCTACTACTTTTGCTTGTCGATATTCATACTAAATGGGGTATGCCGCCCCAACAGCCTGCCCAGGCTGATAGTAGCAGCAACCTCGCCAACTTTAACAAGCGGCGCTTTTGGCGAAACCGATTTGCTAGGCCGATTTTGTCGAACCGCATTTGAGCGAGCATGAGCTTTTCTGCGTCGGTGGGTGGTGGTGGCCTGCTTACTCAATTAAGTAGGCGCCTACTTAACTAAGTAAGGGCGGGCTAAAGGAATAAAGGTCATCGAAGGAGTGCATGGGACGCTCCAATCTCTTTCGTCGAAAAGGGACAGCCCAACGAACGCCAGGCTTTTCCCAATGTACATGCTGACAAACATCGTGTACTTTCTGGTCCTCCACTTCAGTTGGCAGGCTTTATGTCATTGTGTCAGCATTTGCAACATGTATTCTTCCTGCAAAATCACATGCCTGTCCCATAAAGACTCATCTCTGCAGGGTCCGGGGATGCTTTCATCGACAAACTTTGACTGGAACCTGGCCTTGACTTTCTTGGGATTGAACATGTGGATCTATCCTTTGGATGCCTTACACTCAGTCTTTGAAACATGCCATTAGCTCTGCAGTGTCCTTTGAATGGTCAAGTTGCTGAGGCCTGGCTGCCTACAGATGCCGTGTGCTGTCAACATCAGGTAGCTTTGCCAAGCAATTTTGTTACCTGGACGGTGCCGTAGCTGCACTTTAACATGTTTCATTTTGGGTGAGGCCATGACTTGGTTGAAGCAAAGGTGCAGACGATGGCAGTGTTCTACATTGTATTTCCTTACATGCTCCCTTGGCTGAAAGCGGTGAAGAGACGCCGACTTGTCATCCATATGCTCTTCTGGCTGCAAGCCGTGACTTTCCTATCCATAGCCACCTGGATGCGTTGGTGGGCTTGCAGGTCTGCATGCCTGTATCCAGTTGCCATTGCACACATGGCTTTCATTAGATCTTTATGAGGTTTAGACCTGGCATAAAGCATTTGCCAGGTCCATCCCCAACCTGCTCCAAACTTGCATGCGACTGTGGGATTTGTTTAGTCTCACCATTTGCACGTCCAAAGGTCTCATTCGGAGTTTTCGCACTGAAGAACTTCAATGTGGGTTACTGGAGTGCTCGGGCTTGGCCTTTGAGCCGTATCCCTGTCTTTGCCATGGGATGCCTTGCAGCAGTGGAGCGAATTCATGGTGGAGGCCCAGGGACCTTGTTAAGTGCTTTGTTTCAAAGACTAATACTCATCAACGGATCAACCTTGACCGCTTTCTTGGAGCTCTTCGTTAGAATCCGAATTGCCTGACAAGCAGTGCAACAGTTTTGGACAAATTAACGTTTCAAACTACCGAGTTGATTTTAACATACACTAGGTGATCCGAAAAGGGACCTGATCAGACATGCAAGAGCATTAGATTTTGCTAGCAGCTGTTGCTAGGAAGGTGACGGGGGATGTATAGTTTTCCAAAGAACCTAGGAACCAAATCATTATGGCAAGAAGCCTGAAGAAGCCTGAACCCTTCTGCATCCTGGTCCCTGGTGCCAAAGAAGCTACTTATATAAGCTTAGTATCTGACATTCTTACTTTCTTCTCCCTAGTAGCTTCTTGTTACTAGTAGCGATGGCCTCGAACCTAATAGCAATGGCCTCACCTCCACCTAGTAGCATCCTTGCTCCTAGTAGCGATGCCCTTTGCTCCTAGTAGCGTCCTTGCTCCTAGTAGTAAGGCCAGGATCCCTAGTAGCATCCTTGTTACTACATTTTTAAGCCTAGCAAAAAAACACAGAAGCCCTGAAGCTCCTTTCTCAGCCTTTCTCGACCAGCAGGCCATGTGACCTGCCGCTTTCGCACTGCCGATGCTGGCGGTGAAGCCAGAAGATGGGGTTGGCGTGCCTCCGTGCTGGGTGCATGCGTCTTGCAAGAAAGGTTCAAGACGATCCAAAAATCCTCTGGAATCCTCTGTGGAGACCTCCAGGAGTCGTCCATCACATCATGTAAAGCATCATGCCGTACATGTAATAGAGCCTTGACATTCCTTGACAATTAATTTGATTGGCCCGAAGTTAAACTGTTCCCTCACGCTGGTGTCGAACCCGCGTGAAGCTGCATCACATTTAGATGCGTTCTGGCATCAGAGCCAGTGAAGCATAGAACGACACAGACACATTTGTATAACAAAGGCTATGTCCTCATCCTGACTGCCGGTGTGGTACTGAACGAGGCATTTTGAGTTCATGAGTGCCTCCGGTTTGAGAGTTAAGGAATGCTTTCAGCAAGAGACACATAGAGTTAGTTGATGTCGATGTTAAATGTGAGTACAGCTCAAAGCTTCCATTCTTGGATGGCCTATTGCAGGTTCCGGTCAAATCTGCCACTTTTGCACGACTGCGTGACCCTGTCATTCGATCTCTTTTGGAGGTGGGCAAAGCCAATGCCTCTGTGAGCAGTTTGATGGTCAGTAGAATTGAGGCACTGGTGCCACTCTTGTTCATCGACCTCATTTTGTGGCTTCACAAAATTATTGCGCTTGTCAAACCTGCCATGCTCCCTGAGCGCTCACCTGCTCGCTCACCTTCTTGCTATCTTGGAACTGGAAGGGAAACACACACAAACATAATTGGTGTTGGCTCTTGCAAGTAATGGTTCCTTGATGTGTGTTTGTGCGATTTGATTTGATTAAGGGCATTGACCCATTGTGGAGAGAGTGGCATCCTGGCCCGTGTTTGCCGGAGCAAGCCCATGGAATGGATGGGATGCTCGACAACCAACCACAGAATTTAGATTCGAAGTTTACCCAACTGAAGTGGATAAAGTCGAGTTCCGCAACTGCACAGGATTCCGCAACTAGGATTCTGCAACTGTTTGGTCGGATTCCGCAACTGGGATTCCGCAACTGGGATTCCGAAACTAGGATTCCGCAACTAGGATTCCGCAACTAGAATTCCGCAACTAGGATTCCGCAACTAGGATTCCGAAACTAGGATTCCGCAACTGTCAAGATTCCGCAACTAGGATTCCGCAACTAGGATTCTGCAACTGGGATTCCGCAACTGGCGTTCCGCAACTAGGATTCCGCAACATTGTGGACTCCCTCACTAGGATCCCGCAACTTTGTGAATGATGAGGGATGTCGAGATCACACGATGGGGACAAGGGGGGGTTGGGGGGTGGGGGGGTTGGGTGGGGGGCTAATGACGTTGGTTTGGATGTGCTTCGAAGGTGGTGTCACACGCACACACGCTATCGCATGATGTGGAGATCACCAGCTGCAAGTTTCAGAAGGCAAGTTGCAGAATCTGACTTTCCAGCTTCAGAATACCAGTTGCAGAATCTGACTTTCCAGTTTCAGAATACAAATTTCAGAATCCCAGTTTCAGAATCCTAGTTTCAGAACCCCAGTTTCAGAATACTAGTTTCAGAACCCCAGTTTCAGAATACCAGTTTCAGAATCCAAGTTTCAGAACCCTGGTTTCAGAACCCAGTTTCAGAACCCTAGTTTCAGAATCCGACCGATTAGTTTCCGAATCCGGCTCTAACCCAACTGAAGTTATGCACGGGGTAGGCTTTCGGGGCAGCTTTTCAGTAGATGTTCATGGTTCAATGTGCATAGCAGCATAGCGCAAACACTTTGAACCAAGGAGACATTGCAATGTCTTTCTACATGGTTCATTTCAGTGTGATTCTGATTGTATCGATGTGTACCTTGGCTGCAAGGTCTGTGAGGGTGACAAAGTGACAAAGTTTCGATTCTTTTGCACTTTCTTTACTTGACATTGCTCGCCCTTCCTGCGATAGAGTGCATGCCCAGTTGTGCCGCAACACTTGCAAGCCGTCTCTTGGTGGATGGTCGTGGGAAGCTTTGCGCTGGCGATGCTCCTGGGAGACCTTGTTGCACTTGCGATCGTGTGCGCCTGTTTTGCATTCGTAGTAATCCGCAAAAATCACAAAGTCCAGTAATGTTGACTCTTAGGATTTAAGAGGAAATCAATAGGAATTAAAAGGACATCAATAGGAACTAAAAGGACATCAATAGGAATTGAAGGGAAATCAACAGGAAATCATGATTGTAAAGGCATAGACATTATTCAAGAAGGGGTTGATATTAATCAAGATTTCTAGTGTACTAGGCCGGCTACCCTCTTCGTGGAACAGATTTTTGCAATATTTTAGTAAGTTTTAAGTTTTAATAGAGAAAGTTAACGAAATTAATGACACACTTTCAATGGTCATCAATAGAGATCAAAAGGAATCCAAAAGGAAATCAATAGAAATCAAAATGGTTTTAAAGTAAATCAAAAAGGACTCAAAATAGATAAACCAATTGAACAGAAAAAGCGGATACATGAGCGTAGGGGTGATATTAATCTAATCAAGATTTCTAGTATTACCCTCTTTGTGGAATAGAGTTTTGCAATATTCTAATAATATTTTTGCAATATTCTAATAATATTTATGTGGAAGAAAAGTGAGGAATGAAGTTTTCTGGGTGACAAGTTTTTGTGTGCCTTGGGTGGGGGATGGTGGCTTGGCCGTCAATTTGGCTCAAGCCCCATCCCCCAGGAGTTCTCGAACTTCTGACTTTTGGGGGATGGACCGTTTGCTCCTCGCGGGAGCGCTTGTTTGGACCCATGTTTCCAGCGGCATCGGCCGCTTTGGCGATGGAGACCGTGGACGACCTTCTCACACACTTCCAGGTCTTGGCGGAGTGATGGAGGGCATTCACTCAGGAAGCTGGTTCCCCGGGGTCCGACCTTCGGCTACTGGCAGCGCCGGTCTACAGCTTCTGGCCTGTTCACTCTGACTCTGGTCTTTGCGCTAATATGTTGTTATCAAAAACGGTACTTTTTTGATGGCAACTTCGTGCGCGTACAAAGAGGGTTGGACTTTGGACATTTATGGGCGCCACCACTTCAGAAGCTCTTGTGACAAAGGGCGCGTTTGTGATAGCAACTTGGCGGGAGTATAAAGAGGGCTGGACTTTGGTCATTTTCGGCTCCAGGAAGTCTGGCGGCTCTCATGACGTTGCTCTGTTGCCCTTCGCCATCCTCAAGGCACTCTCTGAGAGGTGCAGTGCTCCCTGGAAAGGTCTGCAGCTTGTTGCATCTTCACTCTAGTCTTTGTGCATATAAGTTGCCATCATCAAGGGTGCTTTTTGGATAGCAACTTCGTGCGGGTACAGAGAGGGTTTGACTTTGGACATCGGGCTCCACCACTGATCTTGGGCAGGACACCGCGAGCTGCCGACTTCAAGCTACAGGACATCTGTGTCCTGTACACACACATGTGGTGCATCACCTGCGCGCTCGACCACCACACACATGCAGGCACAACCAGACACACCACCAACCACCAACCAAC